ATACGTTTCAACTTTCCCGGAGTACGGAATATTGCTGGAGGAGTACGTATAATTGCGCAAGCTAATTGCATATAATAGTATCTTTCGTAGCCCCTGATTACTGACGACTAGCTCGTATCAATTCCGTTAGAAATCAGTATAAGAAAATATTTATTTTTTCCATAATAAAAAGGGTTATAGAAGTAGAAAATTATATACATCGATTGTGAATGAAATTAAAATCTTGCTTGTAATAAAAATCTTATATAGTTATATAAATCTTTATATAAATCTTAAAGATTAAAAGATACAGAGAATAATGTTTTAACAGAGCAGTGTTTATAGTGCAATCACCTGACAGTTCAGAAGTAAGTTGCAAAAGATTGTTGCAAAATATTGTTCATACGTTTCTTACAAACCTATGTGAGAATTCTGCGAGTAGGTATATCTCAGCATTGATAGCCAAAGTTGTTAAACTTTTTACTCTTCTACCGGTATAGATACTTTTGGATTTGAATTTAAATTTGAGGGGTTCTTGATTGTGTTTGCACTTTGGATGCTTCGGTAATCGCCGACGTGGAAAGTGCGTGGTAATTTTACATTCGCTTTGCGCGTGCAAGACGTGCGAAAGGGTTACATGTAATTCACACAAAATAGTCTACCGCTTTATCTGTTAGGCCAAGAGAATTCCATTTAAATTTGATTTACGATATTAAACAGGCTGAGGGAGTTATCTAAGAGATGGCCATAAAAGAAACGCACCATAAAAGAAAGCGCTCTTCAGTGAAAACGCTCTTCAGCGCCAGTAGAATGTGAGCAATTGCGAATATATATTTTTAAGCAATATTATTTAAGCGAAAGGAAGTAAAATTAAATTCAAAGGATCCTTATTAGAATGAATGACATAATTAGATATTTATAGCTGTTTTGAAATAATTAAATTTGTTATTTAAAATTGATTTTTTCCAAATGTTGTGGTAAAATATTTAAATATAATAATAAATATTAAATATTTATATTTTTTATTTTAGATATTTTTTTATTCTTTTGTTATATTTTTTAGTTAGTGTATATATGAAATATATACAGTGAACTTATGGTATATACTTGTACTAAGCAGTTCTCGTAGATTATTTTGTTTGAAATTATGCGGCTTCATTATATACAAGAACCTTAATGAACTATTTCAGATGAGAGCTCGTTTTGTTAATGAACAGGAATACATTAAGACGATCACGAAGAGGATAAATCATAATTTATATGTACACAAAATTATTTCAAAGAATTCATAACAGTTTACTCATGAATACCTAATTTATGTGAGGAGTTATAACGGCAATTTTTGCCAGCGTATCATTTTTTTACTATAATAAACTAGATATTTATTAAATCATAACTAATTCTGGATATTCATTCAGATTTTTTTCCTTGCAATTCATAGAATTCTGTGAATTGCAAGGAAAAATCTGGAATGAATAAAATACGTACGCATCCGCACGTGTGAATATGGATTTAATTATTATAACATTTAACATTTTTCGGAAATACGGAATTTTTAAATAGCTTTTTCGTTGTGCATTTGGAAAAACAAAATAAAAGGGAATAAAGATGAGGTGATACATAGAACTAGAGTGCAGGGACGTAATAAAGGTTTTACTACTCGCGCAGTATTCAACGTGCTAGAAAAGTAACGTATAGTAAAGTAACAATACTATAAAAATCCAACGGTACGAAAAAGAACTACTATACGTACATATGAACATAGTTACACTTTATCATTATATATATCAAAAAATTGATGCGAAAAATAATTGTATTGGATTGTCTGGAAAGTTCGTGCCGATGTTGAAGGAAAATTGAAACGCAGAAAATTCAAATTTTTTAGTATACATTTATTAAATTATATAGGTTAGTTAACATGAACTTTCCGGACAACCCAATATATGTATAACTATATATAAAATATTATATGCTCTCTTTTATAAGTTCCTTTATGAATATTATGTTTTGTCAAGAACATAGGTTTCTACGTTACTAACTTTCTTGCCAAGCACGAAGTTTCTTACTTATTGCACATCTCGTGCATAAAGTTTACTTGTTAATAGATTCTATTTATCAAATGTTTTGAAATGTTTCTTAAGCGTCGATGAAAGTTTGATAATGAAATATATTTATTATTTTGTAATTCTGACAAACCGTGAGGATGATGTTAATACAAGAATTTCATAAAAAAGAATATTTTTATGTTTTTTTACGTCAGTCATAATAAAATCGTGGTATCTCGTATTCGATTTTTTGGGGTTTCTGCTATTTTGATTTTCGTACGAATGAAATTTTATCTGAAGTTATCTGATCGCGAAGGAGGGGTCACGGAGTTAACGAGACACGAAACTTGAATCTTAGAGTATCGTACCTGGCATCGTATCATTCCTCTTCGACAAATATGGGCAATCCTTGGTTGATTCGATGCTTTTTGGAATCCAGAAAATACGTTTAGCTTTTCTATGAAAGTTTCGGCAGCGCGGCTTGAAAGCAAAAAAGTTGCCTTGCAATTAATTTGGTGTTCTGTGTATCAAGAGGAGGTGTTGTGTTACAGTCAAAATTCAATTAATCTTTTTTATCTATTTACTTTTTTAAAACTATTTTTGCGTTTCTTTATTTTTGTCATTGTATAATAAAAAGTGATATCTTTAGTTTATGATTATATACATACAAATTACATTATATATATATATAAATTTTATATATTATATTAGGCGTGGGAAAAAGTTCGTGGCGTTTTTCCCGTTAGATGGCATTAAAAAAACGTCACGAACTTTTTCCTACACCTAATATGATTAAGCATATATAAAATAGTTAAATGTAAACAAGATAATTTGTGCGTAAAATATAATTCCAGATCCTTGCACGTCATTTCTGACAAATAGGTATAAATTATACTTGCGTTATCGCGTAATTCGTATACATGTACTATATATCAAGATAAGTGATGTTTAGACAAAATTAGATATGTCCGGCCACATCTAAATTAGACCATTGAGCTAATTTCTATGCTCGGATATATTCATTTGCTCTATTTGAATTACAAACTTAAAATACATCATTAATCATTATTTATTTACGTTATTAAATGCATGAAAGAATAAAAATTGAATTAATTCCGATAGCATTAGCGCGAAGTTTTCACGCTATTAAATTTTCTTCTTATTCTTTTTTTTGTCGTGGCAATCATGTACATTAAAAATTGATTTTTTTATCACGTGTAAAGGATCCCGAGCTTTATCAAGAAAAACATTGCGTTAAAATAAAGCGCTTATATTGTAACAGCACAGCAAAAAGTTGAAACAAGAGACGTTATTTTTCCCCTTTTTTAAAATTTTTTTCTTTTGTTTCTTAAAATCTATTTTGTTTTCATTTCGCCAGAACCCTCTTGTCTTTTTTGTTGATAGGAATCGTTCGTGCGACAAGTTACCATACGTTGCAAAGTAAATTGAATTATCTATTGATACGCCACTTTGTTTCGGGCCACTAATTTCCATCACGAGGGTGACCCTCCAGATTAGATTCCATTTTTTTAAAAGGAATTCAACTCTTATCTAGATAGGAATTTAGTTCCTATCTAGACGGGATTTCTACCACCTGCCAGTTCTTTTATAAACGATCGCCATTAAACGGCTCCAATATCGTGTATAACGGATCATAAAAATGTAAGAAATGACGCACTGAATATTATTTTGCTGGAATTATCTACTTTAATTAAACGTAATGGTGGTCATTATAATGACACCAGGTAATAGGCAATTCCCTCTTGCAAAGAGCAGGCTATCTAACAAAACGTAAAAAAAAGAAAACGATTTATATGAAAAATCTCTATCTACGATATATTTAATATATTACTCGCACGTGTTATAATCTGCGATATCTACATTACGTGACTCGACATTCTCGTATACATTCTTAGAAAAATATTAGCGAAATAAAATTGACAAATGCATTGCCGTGCAACGTTGAGGAAACATTATGATTTTTACGAGATAGAAGTAATATCTTATAATAAAAAGGCAATTTTTCAATCTGGAAATGATCCACCATTTATATATATCTCGCTTATTAAGCGTCATAGCATGTGACGTTAGATAATGCTGCAAGGAGTGTGTCCCTGTCGGAACTATTTGCAGTCATGAATCAGCAATGGGTGTGGGTATCGAAAGTCGATACGTCATACTGTGAAGTGTGAACAGAAGCTCGTACAATTGGCAGAGTTTTTGGATAACAAGTCAAACACGAAGTCATGTGAAAACGCAGGATGGGTATACAAACGCGAATAATTCAAAGTAAACTTTAAAGATGTATGCTTGAAAAAGGATTAATTAAATTCTATTGATTTATTTTGATATTTACAACTATCTAGAAAAAAATATTATATACATATATATGATGGACATACTTTATATGTATATAATTTTATATGAAATAAATATGTCACAATATGTAATTATAATATATAATTATATATGAAACATTTTTTCAATGTAATGAAATATCAAAAATATAAATTTAATAAATTGGAATTTTTAAAGAGAATCTTGATGTTCTAAAAATATAACTTTTTTTTTTTGTAAAATCATAAAATTATACTTTTTATATTTTATACTTTTATATATTTTACATTAATTTAATTTTTAGATATCAATATTATTTCATACAAATTTTAATAATGTATAACTTGAAATCGAATAAGTATCTCTTATAATATGCATAACTATTGATGTTAATGATGATATTTATAATGGTAAACAATTTTTTAAATAATTTTAAATTGTAGTTTGCAATTGTAAACATATAATATTAATTTCTATAATTATTATTATTATGTTGACATAACCGCAATAATGGTCAGTTATTTCACATTCTGATATATTCATATACAATATATGACTCGCGTAAATAAAATATGTTCGAGACAGATACCCGAGCTGCCACAATTCTAGCTGATATTAATTAGCGGACATTTAACATACCTAGAAACTTATTAAACGAGAAATCCTTGTGACGTGAACTTTATGAAAATTTTCCGGGTAGCCGTCGCACCGGATCTTCCCTTGTTCATGCTTGGATAACTTCGTGTATTCTCCTCGTTGTTCTAGTTGGAGACACAGGAACCCGTGTGCACACTAAATTCCGCGAAACTAATAATGAATCCTTTCTGAGTCCTCCGAACACGTTCGGCAATTTGACGTGTCATGCTTCGTGTGTTAGCATCTTTGTAAATAAATATGTTACACTACTTTGGTATAAAAGTTTGAGACATTCTCCATGGAATTTCTGATAGTTTAATCTGCAATTTTCTTAAATATAATTGACAAAGTTTTGATTTCGAATTAAAGAAAAATTGATTTGCATTTAAAAATTATTCTTTATTAAATATTTTTTGCAAATTACGATAAATCAGAGTCACTAATTTTTTTAAACGATACACATAATATTTAAAATATCTCTGTTAATTAATTACACTTTTGTTAAGTATTTGATTTAAAGATGTACATTTTCCATCAAGTGCAAGTCAGAATTGGAGATGCTTAAAGATCGATTTCTCTCTGTTATCAGCACATAGCGTATATCCCCGGAAATTCACTCACTTGAGTAAACTCAAGTTCGTCGGTCTCACGTCTCTCAATCGTGTCACGTTTGTGTTTTCTTTGGATTTCTTCGCACGATTGAACTTTCAGAATCGAGCCTCTTTCCTCGGTTTAGACTGCAATTAATTATGGCTGTGCACGACGTCTCATTTTCACATGTAAATTTTTCACGTGCAAAATTCGAGACATTATTCTGCTGATTTATTCTAGAGTTTCCATTTTAATCAGTTTGGCAGAAAAGATTTGCCAGTTTTATGTTTTGTCAATCAATTTTATAGTGATTGACGCATTTTGTAACACAGAAGTATTGCGGTTCTTATTTTCCATAAATCAGACGCGATTTCTGTCAGCCTATGGTAGTTTCTGAAACCTCGTGTGTATCGCGAGCACCAAAATTTGTATACAACTCGAGCTCCTCGACGGTTCTTGGCCGACTGACTGAAAACTAGGCTTTACCTCCTGCGCCTCGTTGTTCGCGCATGTGCCACTGCAGATATATAAGACAAGATTTTGGTAGAAAGTGTAGAAAAATTACAAGACTGCAGTTTGAATACACGGTAATTCATTCATAAAAAATATGCTTGCAGAACTTGGTTCTATGAACGCCTTAGGGTAATCACAAATGCTTTTCAACTTCTTTGATGTTGTTACTTTTTATATATATTTACAACACGTATATATTTTGGTTTTGAAATAATTATAGACTTCAGACAGAAATTTATATAAAAGGAATCGATTTTTTAGGAATTAACTATTAAATTAAAGTATAAATAAAAGAAATAGATTTTTTTTAAGAATAAATTTTTTAAGAATTTTTAAATTAATTATAGGTAATAATTACATTTATAAGGCTATGTTTAATTAAAAATATTATTTGGATTTACGCTTTTTTTCCTGTTTTTAAAAATAGATTATTTTTCTTGTCAATAATATTTCTGTAAAAATAATCTCCTCCTGAGGGATATTTTGTAATAAACTCAAAATTACTCTATATTAATAAAAAAATGTTGCTCCTATAGTTTACACAGCGCAACAGATACATACAAAAATGAACATAATATAGAGAAATTGACTCTATCAGTTATAAATTCATGGAAAAACCTTGCTTTCAAATTTCGTAGAATTCGATCGATATTCTATACCCTTCGGGGATGATAATTAATCAAGTTGCGTTTCATGAATCTCCCCGAGGATTTCTCAGATATTCTCCATTTTTATTGGAAAAACAGTCTTTGTAACCTCTGGAAGAAAAAAATTCGATCGGTCGATTTTATGGTGTATTTAGATATATTGTCATTCTTCATCAATAAAATAGAGAGACGCTCGAAATTTAGAATGTTATATTACATTTTAGTAGAATTATTGTAACAGATTATGCGGCAAACAAAAAGTTATACTAGAAGAAGAGAGAGTCTCGAATACATCAATATTAGGAAGAAAAATTTGCTTATGCGGAAATTCCTTCTTAAAGAAGTATAACGTCATCGGAACGCATGAGATGCAGCCTGCTAATTACAAGAAGTTGCACCGGCTGAAAGTAGGTTACGTTAAGCTCGGTTAAGAATGCAGACGGACACACTCGTCAAAGTGAATGCGAAAAGCTCATATGCATGGAGTATGTGTGTGTGGTGGTGGTGTGTGTGTGTGTGTGTGTGTGTGTGTGGTGTGTGTGTGTGTGTGTGTGTGTGTGGTGTGTGTGTGTGTGTGTGGGGTGTGTGTGTGTGGTGTGTGTGTGTGTGTGTGTGTGTGTGTGTGTGTGTGTGTGTGTGTGTGTGTGTGTGTGTGTGTGTGTGTGTGTGTGAGTAGCACATGCAAATGATATGCATTCCGAAATGAACAAGGTACCGCGCTTTTCAATTATTTTGTAAAGAATTTAATTAATTACGTACTGCAACAATGCATCCATATTTTTTAAAATTATTTGATATTTTTTAATTATAATACATAAAATGTATACATTTGGATACGCGTATGGCATATATATATATATATATATATATATATATTTTTTTTTTTTAAACATAATACCATAACGGTGATCGTGCATAATTTAATTGAAATTTTATAGTGCATTTAAATGGTGAATGCATGTCGATTATGAATATATAGAGCTTTTGTATACAAAATGTGCATACAGTGCAATGGCTTTTGTGTCGAAATACATTTTGTGATCTTCTCAAATCAATTTCCGCACTTCACATTTTGGTTCAGGAAATTGAGCTCTCCTATTATATGTGTTTTGATTAAACCGATAGAGGACGGACTCCGAAAGAGAATTAATTATAAATTGTTAATAGATTGTAATGGTAAATCTTTTTTCTCTTGTATGTAATAAAGTATGAATAACGTGGAAAATTTGTTATCATTAAAGAAATAATTCCTAGCAAAGAGCTTTTTTGCTTTATGACTTCCGTTATTTAGTTGTTAAAATGTTGTTAAATCAGATGTTAATTGTAATTTATAATACATTGAAAATGTACGAGTATACATCGAAGTATAAATAATTTTTAATTAAACTTTTAATCCAGTTTTGATCGAATGTTCGTTTTTTGTTTTATTTATTTAATAGTTGCGTTTACATTCAATGTCTCTGCCACTTGTATGATAATTAAAGTGATATCGATTTTCTTAATGAGATGTCTGTGGCAGTGTGTCGTGCACGTGTCTTTACGTAGTTATGTTATTGTGGATTTAATCTGACAGTGTCCATGTTCTACGAAAGCACATCCATAACCATTTTCAATGTTCTCTTCATATGTATACATTCTCTCTTTCTTTTCCCTCCCTTCCTCTTTCTCTCTCTCTCTCTCTCTCTCTCTCTCTCTCTCTCTCTCTCTCTCTCTCTCTCTCTCT